ACGTCGGGACTGCTGGGAGGCCGGCTTCTGGTCCTACATTGAATCAGAAGCCAGGCAACTTGGCAAACTCAAGACGGTACTTGTTACACACACACACAGTTGTAACAACGACATACGACGACAGATACAAACACACTTGTATACATACATATGTATGTATGTATGTTCCATCATATATACCGATGTATGTATCTACGAAGCTAGCAGTACTTCAGTTACATAATGTGCAAGGGGGTCCCGCGTAATGGCATGTCTTTCTCGGATATGACAGCTCCTCCGTGACCCCGGTCAAACGACCCCTTTTAGTACTACTCCTTCGCCTTGTTTTTAATAGTTCCGGTTGGTATTATTGCATGAACAATAACAGAGAGCAACTAAACACAACAATGATACCACTTGTTGTTCGTGTAAAACGGACGAATAGTATGTAACGAAGCGGCTTCTCGTGTACTACACACGGTACATATACACACGATGACTTAAACATTCCTGAACCTCCAAATTTTTATGGACTGACTAAATTCGTTTTTAAAGTTTGATATACCGGGATGCACGCTGTCACAGCTACTTTTTAATCTATACATCGAAGACGCCATTAACATCATTAAAGACAGTACAACTGTAGGGATAAATATACAGGGGCAAAAGATTAGTATGCTTAGATTTGCAGTTGGTATAGCAGTATTAGCATCTAGCAAGGAGGAGCTAGAGATAGCTTTAAATAAAATGGAAGCGGTATTGACAAAACAGTATTGTATGAAATTAAATAAAAGTAAAACAAGAATACTGGCATGCAAGGGAAGAAAAAGTAGGAAAATAGCGAATATAAAGATAGGAGACGAAAGATTAGAAAAAGTAGAAAATACGACAAATGGCGCTGTAAACGCCATCTGTAGTACAGTGCTACATTTTAGGATTACGTATGCTTCAACAAGGTTCATTTAAATATATGGATATCTACTTGTTGAAACGAATCCCGGCGTAGCTCACCTCAACGTGGTAAAAGTTGGTCTGTGTTCTGTCGGAGCTGCCTGCGACGCGCTGATGAGATCCAAAAAGATCGAAATCGCGATCCGCGTCTGGCAGTTTCGACAGAATACAGACCACTTCGAATTATTTT